GTTAGATATTATTAAGATAACATACATTTTATTTATATTTTAAACATATTTAGAAAAAAACATAGGTTTCTGTAAAGCAGATGGCCAAAGATTTTCTCACAATGCAGGCCATGTCAGTGCCTTCTGAACAAATATTTTCAAAGGCAGGTGACACTATTCGGGCTAAACGTGTACATCTTTCTGAAAAAAGCATACAAGCACTAATGTGTACTGGCTCATGGTTGGAACACGGCATTAGGTTTCAAAGAGATTAATTTCTTTTCATTTAAATAATATGCTTTATTATTGTCTTTTTTTTTTTAAACAAAATGAAATGCTTTTTTTTATTTCAAAAAAAATGATAAAACAATTTTTTTAAAGTTATTTTTTAAAAGTTTTTTTTATTCTTTTAAAAAAAATGTTTTTTTTTAAAAGTTTTTTTTTTTCTTTCAAAAAATAATTTTAAAAAAATTTTAAATATATGTTCTTATATTATGTTTCTATATGCTTGCAAATTATGAATACAAACTATTTGTATGTATCGGTAATATATATTAATGCTAAAGCTTGCAAATTATGAAATATTTGTACATATCAGTGTATATATTAATGCTGAAATAAATGAAAACAGTATCCATAATAATTAAAACGATAATAAACTTGGAGAAATTGGAGCTGCAGCTCTTGATCGGCTAGCTACAAAACGATTCGGCTAAAAAGCGGCTCAGCTGAAAATTAGCTAGCTACAAAATGGCTCAGCTAAAAATCAGTTCAGCAAAAATTAGCTCAGCTCCATTATAGTGAGCCATAGCCAAGCCAGAGCCAGCCGTTTTGCATCACTAAATACACTTCTATTGAATGGCCACCCCAAAGTTTGTTAATGATCGACACAATCGCAGCTACTGCAGCATATAATTAATTAATTAATTGATTAATGATTAGAAGTACCTTGTTTATAGTGCTGAGAGTGCGCTGAATGTAACTCGGGTTGCATAAGGAGAGCATCTTCCTGTGTTGTGAATAATTAACCATAGCTGCTGCAACAAAATTGTCATGGCAGATCCTCGATTTTGATTGGCTAACAGCTGAGAATCTTTCAAAATTTTGGCCCACATTACCCAATTGTTACTAATTTCTGGCCAGAATTAACTTTTTAATTTTTTTATTATAAAAATAGAAATTTTTAAAAAATAAGCCCGCATTATAGTAAAATTGGTCCAAGAACAATTTTCACTTAATAGGCAGCTGTGATTTCATTGGTAAAATTATGAGTAATTCTGGCCTAATTTTTTGATCATTGCTTTTAGCCAATCAAAATTGAGAATCTGTCATATCATTTTGTTGCAGCAGCTATAGTTAATTTGCGAATAAAATAAAAATTTTCAATTATAATTGGAAATTTTACTTTGTATTTACAATGCAAGAAGATGCTTTCCTTATGCAACCCGGGTTACACTCGGCGCACTCTCGACGCTATAAGCAAGATAGGATAGCTATTAAAAATCAAAAAAAAACCTGTGCTATGATTAGATGCTGCGGCAGTGACATTGATTATTAGCAAATTTTGGGGTGGCCGCCCTGGCTAACTCTATTTTAACAACCATTTGCTTAAATTTTATAAAATCTTTTTAATTTGAATTCTATATACTTGTAGCAGGTATATAAAAATTTGGATATCAAATTACAGAATTT